GTCTCCCGAAGACAACACTCTTTAAAGGCAAGAAACATGCAGTTCCATCATTTAAGAATTTCACTCCGTTTCATCCGTTTCCCTCCTTTCTAGCACCCACCTTTTCCCAGGCCCACTTTCACTCCAGTCTCCCTCCGCCCCCTCTCGGGTGCCACAGCCGGCGTCCCGCCCAGCGCGCGCGCCCGCTCCCCGACCCCGCTCCCCTAGATCTCACGGAGCACCAGGTGAGAGCCCGCCTGCTCACCTTGCCTCGCTCACGAGCACTCCTCTGGCCTCCTCACCAGAACGGCCGCGAGATGACTGCGGGCCACCGACACCCAGGATCGGCCAGGTGTTGCGACCTCAGAACCTGCCTCGCCCGGCTTGGGGGTGGAACCGGGTGGACTTGGCCGGTCCGTCCTGTCGTTATTGGTCTGCAACGGCTTCTGCCCCGCCTTCTCGGAGCGCTGATTGGTCTGTGCTGCTGCCGGCTTCGTGTGACTCGCGCAAACGAGCCCCTGGCGGTCCCAGCCATTGGTTCCGCGGATGGAGTGAGGATAGTGAGACCTGCAGGTCCAGCCAATGGCCGACTCCGCGGCGCGCCTGGAGGCGGGGAAGCGTGAAAGCGCGTGACGGCGTGAGTGGGAGGGCACGGACGGACGACCGCCCCGCCCTGCCGCGTAGAGTCGTCTTGGCAACTGCTGTCCTCCGCGCATTTCTAGTTAGAGCCTGCGCTGTGCAGGGAAGAGAGGGTCGCGGCAGTCGCCGTCCCAGAACTTTTATTTCAAATGTGAAGCGCCCAAACCCGGGAAGAAAAGAGTGTAAATGAGTCTCAAAATCTATGTTGACTGTTTTATGTTTCTAGACACCCTTGCCTTTCTCTGGTCTGTCCTTTTAGATTTAGATCTTAAGTCTCCCTTGTTTCCCCAGCCTACGTGTCCTTTAATAAATACTTGTGTTTTGAAAACGGAGAATTTCAAATGCGATTATCGTCATTTTGCAGATGAGAAATAGAGGCTTGGAAAGATTTAAAAAGATTGGACATCAAGGGAGATTTCGGCTCCCAGGGCGTTAAGACCTTGACCTCGCTACATGGGCTGAGAACATCCAGGTGTTGTTGCAACTGCTGTGCTTGACGCTAAGCGCCCGGGGGCGGGGCTTGACACAGGTCTTTGCGGCTCTAAGCTCATTTTACGTCATCTCTCAACATTAAAATATTGTGTACTGGGGTATAATAAAACCACAGATGTGATAATATACTAAAAGTTTCACTTAACAAAAAAGATTCCTTTTTAAAAAATGCATAGGGGCATCATTTGAGCTAGTGAAGGCCCTTTTTCCTCCAGCTTTATTAAGGTATACTTGACAAATAAAAATTGTGCTTACGGTGCACACATTTTGATTATAGTGTGAAATCTATACAGCTTCTGAAAACAGAATACTATTGTTTAACTCCTCCATGTTTTTGTTCAAACTGGCCTTTCTGCCTGGAATAATCAGCCATCTCCACTCCGCCCCATCAATTCAGGTACCTATCTCCTTGAGGAAGCTCCCTCTTGAAAAGTGTCTTTTTTTAGGTTCAGTGTGACCCGTACTCATTCATCTATCCTTCATGTTTGGCTAACACATTCTTTGTAAAGTATCATGACAAAGGTAACGTCAAATGAAAAGAAATGGGATCTGTCCCTTGGTTGTCAGAGTCAGAGCCCTGTTTTTAGGATGCCGTTAGAGTGGTGTCAGAAACCGTCCCTATATCCTTTATAAAATTAATCAGGGAAGAAGGGGGGTGGGGGGAACGAAAATAAACCAAGCTTGCAGCACACTGAGCATTACTCATTATATCAGGCTGCTCTGACCCCTTCCTCCTAGCTGTTTGGCTACTGCTTCAGAATCATGTAGACCGTTACAAGGTTATATAGCTCCCCCTAACTGCTCTGTAGACAACTTGAACATTAGGTCAGCTTGCTGGGGGACCCCTTCCTCACAGTTGTTTGCCTATTGCTTCAGAATCATATAGACCTTGTTACAAGGTTATAGTTCCCCCTGAAGCTGCTCTATAGACAATAACTTGAATATTATGAAACGCTAAGTTTGTGCTTTGAGATAACCTTTCAGGTATTTCACACAGATGAAACTCAGCTGGTCTGAAGGACCACAAGGAGCTGATTCACCAAAGAATGCATTTCCCATATCCTGATGATTTCATCCCCCTTCCCCCAGCCAATGAACGATCCCAATTTTCCAGCCCCTTGCCCTCCAAGACCCCCTTAAAAACCCCAGCCCAGAACTCCTCAGGGAGATGGATTTGAGGGTTTTCTCCCATCTCCTCTTGGCACTCTGCCATCGCTAAACTTTCTCTGCTACAAACCCTGCTGTCTCAGTGTATACCGTGCAGTGGGTATATGAATCTGTCTGTCCTGTAGTGGATGCTATGGCACACCACCCAGATTCCCCTCTTCAAGATCTAAGCAGGCATTCCTCCCGCTGCTGAGTACTACCAAAGAGAAGCACCTCTCCCCAAGGGTATACCTGCTTTCTGGGGAACAGCTCAAGTCAAGTACGGTTGATACAGGGGTATAAAAGCCCAACCCCTTACCCCAATGTAGAGCTACTTTTCTTGGCCATCACAGCTCCAGAGCTCCCCGTCCTATTGGTTGTGTGATGACTGCACTGCCTCTCAACTTTTCCCTCTGCCCAAACCTGCCATCCTCTATCAGGTAAGCATCAATAGCAAACACTATTGGGCCAGACTTACTAGGTTTGGCATTTTATTAGCAGTGGGCAAGTTACTTCTCTGTCTTATCTGGTACTTCTGTAAAATGAGTATTATAATAATACCTACACCTCAAAGAGTTCTTTAGGATTACATGAGATAATGTATGTAAAGCCCTTTGCACAGTATCTGGCATAGTGATCAGTATGTGATCACTAAATGTCAGTAATTATTTCTGTTTTAGAATTCTACCATAGTATTACATTTCTAAATCAGAGCACGTATAGGTATATGGAGGGGTCAGATTATTTTAAACCTTAAAGACTTAGAGCTGGAAAGAAATGCTGATACAGCACCCCCAACTCACTTATTTCCCTACAATGAAGATTAACAGGAGGCTCTGGGAAACAATAGCTGTCATTTATTGAGGGCCCTCTGAATTTCTAGCATATTAACATGCATCATTTCTTTCAAACACAACAATAACCTTGTGACACAGACACTACTATTGCCATTTGAAAAACAAAATAAGGATCATACGATAAGCAATGTGTTAAAAGTCACAGCTAGAAATTGATAGAGGGGGCTGCAAACTCAGAGCCGTTTTGTTTCTATGCCTATGGGCTTTCCAATATACCACACTGCTTTTTTCCTCAAAGCCATGATTAGAACCCCAGAATCTTGACTCAAAGTGTGGTTCTATTCTCCAGTGTAGCCTTCTCTCCAAAATGAGGCACTGCCAGCCATGTAAGTCAGTAGGAAGCAATTTGCTTAAGACAAAACTGAAACAAGATGGTGTCAGCACACTAGTATATATCATGTGACCTTTTACACCTGATAAAATAAGTCTCATAGCTCATCAGCAGTTAGGATTATAAATACCTGGGTCCTCATGCTATAAGGAACAATAAAGAGACAATAAATACCAGGACTAACTTCATCAAAAACAGGGAGAGAACTGATAAGTCTTCTGACAGTACATACACCATTCACCTTAACCCTAGCCATCACTGCTTTCAGCCAAGGAGACAAAGATCCAAACAGAGCAGGCAGAAGAGTTGCTTCACAAGGGAAGTACGTGGATCCAGCCTTGAACTCTGCTCAAACCTGGGGCTGCTTTCTTGTCAGGATTTCTAAGACACTTCTCAGCTTTAACTTATTTTTCATACAGCAATGGAACAGGCTGAGAACACTTCCATATGCCTTAAAAAAATTTTCAAACTGGAAATACAAACATTGGCATAGGGGAAGGAGGTATGTCTAAAGCCTCTGAAATCATAGATATGAATCCAGCTACTGACAAACCCTTGGCAAACTATAGCATAGCTATTAAAGCTTCAAAGATTAAGAAAGTAAAGACAGAGGTACTTGACAAGCTAAGCAGTTAAGACTTTGTTACTTTAATAGAGTGAGATTATATTTTAAGTAAAGCTTTAAAATGTTTCAGATAAACCTTTTGATAGATTTATACAGTTTCATGGAACATTAGTGTTTGGAAGTGATCAGGAAGGACAGAGACCTCACACATTTTTCTTCGTGCCTCTCTCAGAAACAGCCAACAGTACTCCAAGTTCATTAGACCTTCAACAAGTTTATTGACGATGATGTCTCTAAGGCCACACTAAGGCAGAATTTCATGTTTTCATCAACTGAGCATAGGCTTTTTCTGATTAAATTCATTTATAATGGAAAGTTCAACTAAGTATTAAATATGGTTCCATGTTGAAATTTGAATTGAAATGTTATCATAATGATCTTTCCTCTTGATTATCAACTGTTCCAGCAACAGCTCATGCCAACTTTTTTAATTCCTGAGGAATGGTCACAATATCCCACACCTCGTCCTTCCCCCTCTTCCCTTCTTCTGCTGTGTCCACCACCTCAGCTGCCTACCCGACTCCTCTATTCCTGTTTCCTCAATTCCTTTTATTTGGTATCAAAACCACAGTTTATTTCTCAGTTACTTTGGAGTAGGTTTTTTTTCTTTGACTTTTTGGTCTAATGCTACTTGTTTTATTCTTATCTTATGTCCTTCCCCATATCAGGGACACAGAAATATAAAAAGTGTAAATCTTACCAATCCTTGACAGACCTTTCCTTGACAGTTGAGGTTACTTTTCCTGGAAAGAGAACCATTTTTATTGACTTCAGTTATTCATTTAATAGTCTTGTCTCATAGGTCAGGTCGCTTTGACAACAAATTAAAAATACAGATTTGTCAAAAAATACAAACTTTATAAAGGAGCAAAAAATAACACAAAACTTTCTTAACACAAAACTAAATAGATAAAAATCAAGGACACTGTGAAACAAATAATATACAAACTTTTATTCAAAGATAATTCAAGAAAGACATGTTTTGGTCATTTTTAAAGTGAGATTAATTGAAGATCTCAGAAAAACTGTATCTGATCAACACACATGGCTACTCACAGAAAGTTCTCTCTTCTGTTAATAGCAGCTAAATTTATACACACAGAAAAAGTTCTTAAGACCATGCAAATTCAGTTGAATTCCATACATTCATTATATTCATCAAAAACCTGCAGTAATGTTCATGCCAAAGTGTTACTTTAAGAAAAAAATTAAAAATACACACCAAAACATGACCAAGATTAAACTAAAGAAAATAATAAATAAGCATAATTTATATTTTATTTTAAAAAGTTTGGCATCACACATATTCAAGTGTGTTACACCAGGTCCATTCCTCAGAAGTGGCATTTAAAGTGTTAAGCATTGTTAAATATCAAAAAATACAACTCTGTTTTACAATGTAGTACTGGCATAATTCAAAGTACTGTGCCAATTATAAATAGTATAATCAAGTTTCAAACATCTTTTCAAACATATTTAAAGGAAAGCATATAGACACACATTTATATGCATATAATTTATTATATTCATGTAATCAAAGTTATTTTATAAAAGCAAACAGTTTATCCCTCAACTAGTTTGTATACTTACGTAGATTTTAATATCTGTTCAAAGATTTTCAGTTCCTGGGTATACAGATTTTTAAAGAAATAAAGATAAAATTAATTTTACAAGAACACACGTGACTTCATCTTCCTTCACAAAATAATCTGTAGTCATTCAAGGTTGATAAGAACTAGTCTTTATGAAAGCAACTGTTGTCTAAAGACTACAGATTAAGTCCTGCAGTTCAAGTTTCTTATGAAAATTCAGTCAGCTGCTGCTCATTGCAGAAAAAGCCTACACGGTGCTTCTACCAAAAATAATCTTCAGTATCCGAGGCCTATAAAGGCAGACGATCTTATCTTCTGCTGAGACTTAAAGTGCAGCTACCAAGTGGAGAAGTGCTAGATTCTCAGTCACTTCAGAAATACTTGTTGAAGGCTGTTTCTCATGTATAAATATGCTGAAAATGTCTTTCAGGCTCATAATGGTTTATCAATAACTGTGACCCCTGAGCAAAGAAATGAAGAGATCAAAAAGAAGTCATAGGCAGCATTCTGTATCTCTGAGAAAATACTCAATTCTTTATTATAATGCAAAGGCAAGAGGGGCCATACAAATCATGTTTCAGAATCTCTTTCTTAAACTTTAGTAGTAGTATCGTTTTAATCTAAAGGACAGTGAAATCTCTGTTAGTTTAAGACTATTTAATCCAGAACTAGTCTTTTCTTCTTTGTGATTACAGTTTTGAAAAAATACTCAAAGTGGAACACAAACTTTTAAGTGTGGTGGATATGTTCATTATCTTGATTGTGGTGATGGTTTCGTGAATATATACTATGTCAAAAGTAATAAGATTATATACTTTAAATATACAGTTGACCCTTGAACAACATGGGGGTCAGGGGTGCTGACCCTCTGCGCAGTCAAAAACCCATGTATAATTTTTTACTCCCACACAGTGTTAACTACTAATAGCTTATAGTTGACCAAAAGCCTTACTGATAGTCAATCAACACATATTTTACATGTAATATATGTTATACATGTTATATGTATTATATATTGTATTCTTAAAGTAAGCTACAGAAAAGAAAATGTTATTTAAAAAGTCATAAGGAAGAGGAACTATATTTACTATTTATTAAGGGGAAGTGGATCATCATCAAGGTCTTCATCCTTGTCTCTTCACATTGAGTAGGCTGAGGAGGAGAAAGAGGAGAGGTTGGTCTTGTTTCAAGGGTGGCAGAGGTGGAAGAGGTGGAGGAGGTGGAAGGGAAGGCAGGGGAAACAGGAGAGGCAGACAAACTTGGTGCAACTTTAAGGAAATACCTTGTAATTTCTTTTTTTTTTTTTTCATTTCTCTAAAAATGTTTCCATACAATACCAATCCTCCTTCTACCACTTGCTTCAGATACAGTGCATATATCACAGAAGTGCCCATTTCATAAAATAAGTCATAAACAGTCTTGAATAACCAGAACCCTTTGCCAGAGTGTCTAATGTCAATTTGTTTTCTGGTATTGCTTCTATGTCTTCTTCATTGTCTGGCAGTGGTTCAGAAGGACTCATCTCCATCAAGTCATCTTCTGTTAACTTCTCTGATTTGTTACCTATTAGTCTTGAATTTCTCCAAGATCTGTATCTTGAAACCCTTTGCCATCAACCTTTTTAGCCACATCCACGATCTCTTCCATGATTTCTTTGATGGCTCTGTCATAACTCCTGTGAAGTCATACACAACACCCGAACAGTTTTTTGTTTTTCCAGCAGGAATTTGTTTTAGGGTTGATGACTTTCATAGCTTTTTCTGTAACAATAATAATATATTCAATGGTGTAATCCATCCAGACTTTCATGTTTTCTGTTGAGATTCTCTTCCATAGCATTAGCAATTTTTTCCATAGAGTGCCATCTGTAATGAACCTTTAAGGTTCCTATGGGCCCTGATCTAGAGGCTGAATTAGACATGTTGTGTTTAGGGGCAAGTAGACCACTTCTATGCTTTTGGTGTTGAACTCATGGGGTTCTGGGTGGCCAAAGGCACTGTCCAATATCAAAATAACTTTAAAAGGCAGTTCCTTTCCAGCAAGGTACTTCCTGACTTCAGGAAGAAAGCAGAGATGGAACCAATCCAGGAAAAGAGTTCTTGTCTAGGCCTTCTTGTTAAACAATCAAAAAACTGGCAGCTGGTATTTATATTTTCCCTTCAAGTATTGGTTAGCTGCTTTTTATATAAGAGCAGTCCAAATCATAAACACAACTGTATTTGCACAAAATAGCAGAGCTGGCCTATCCCTTTATGCCTTAAATTCTGGTGCTCACTTTTCTTCCTAGTAGTGTCCTTGGAGGCATACCTGTCTGCATTAAAAACTTGTTCAGGCAGATATCCATTCTCCTCAACAACTTTCTTAATGGCATCTGGGAACTCATCTGCTGCCTCTTGGTCAACAGAAGCTGCTTCTCTTGTTATCTTGACATTTTTTGAGCCAAACCCCTTTCCAAAATTATCAAGTCATCCTTTGCTGGCAAAACATTCTTCAGATTAGTTCCTTCACCTTCCTTTTGCTTTGTCATAAAATGACTTTGCTTTTTCTCAAATCATATTAGAGTTGACAGGTATGCCTTTCTTTTTTTTTTCCATTTATTTATTTTATTGCATTTTAGGTTTTAGGGTACATGTGAAGAACATGCAAAATTGTTGCATAGGAACACACGTGGCAATGTGATTTGCTGCCTTCCTCCCCATCACCTACATCTGGCATTTCTCCCCTTGCTATATGTCCCCAGCTTCCCACCCCCCACCGTCCCTCCCCTATTTCCCCCCAACTGACCCCAGTGTGTAGTGCTCCCCTCCCTGTGTCCATGTGTTCTCATTGTTCAACACCCACCTATGAGTGAGAACGTGTGGTGTTTGATCTTCTGCTCTTCTGTCAGTTTGCTGAGAATGATGGTTTCCAGGTTCATCCATGTCCCTACAAAGGACCCAAACTCATCGTGTTTGATGGCTGCATAATATCCCATGGTGTATACGTGCCACATTTTCCCTATCCAGTCTATCATCGATGGGCATTTGGGTTGGTTCCAGGTCTTTGCTATTGTAAACAGTGCTGCAAAGAACATTCGTGTACACGTGTCCTTATAGTAGAACGAGTTGTAATCCTTTGGATATATACCCAGTAATGGGATTGCTGGGTCAAATGGAATTTCTATTTCTATGTCCTTGAGGAATCGCCACACTGTCTTCCACAATGGTTGAACTAATTTACACTCCCACCAACAGTGCAAAAGGTATGCCTTTCTTATAGCAATCCTGCACCCACCAAAAAACAAAACAAACAAATAAAAATAATAAAAACTTAAAAATTAGCTGAGTGTGGTGGCACACCCCTGTAATCCCAGCTATTCGAGAGGCTGAGGCACGACAATCGTTTGAACCCAGGAGGTGGAGGTTGCAGTGATCTGAGATCGCGCCATTGCACTCCAGCCTGTGCAACAGATTCTAACTCAAAAAGAAAAGTCCTGCACTCACATAAAAGCTGCATGTTCAACACAAGATAAAAAGGGACTTCACAAAAAGTGCGAAGTTTTCAAAATTGCTGGGATGGCTGCAGCAACGGCTTCTTGAATTTTCCTTTTCCTTTTTACAATGATCCCTACCCTGGATTCATTTATTTTGAAATGGTGGGCAAGTGCAGCAGTAGACCTCAATCCATGGTATATCTCAAGCAATTCAGCTTTTACTTATAATGTTATGAATCTTCTTTGCTTTGTTGAAGCACTTCCCAGCATCATCAGTGGCACTCTGTATGGGTCCCGTGGTGTTATTCAAGGTTTATGATATTGCAATAAACATGATGAAAAATAAGGCAGAACCATGAGAGATCACTTTCCACTGATACACATCGCTGAAGAGACAAATTGCTCTTTCAAGGATGATTAGTGCCCCACAGCTTCTTAAGTGGCTACTCACAACAGATGAACTCACCAATACAGCAACAGGAAATGGCTATACAAATATAGTAGTACAGTAACATACAACAGCTAATTTCATGCAGTTATGATTTAATAATGTATCTTTATGGTTCACAATTCTCTGGACTGTGAATCACACCATATATGGTCTGTATGTGTTTGTTCCTGTAAGAGTTTGTGTGCATACGTTTTGATAAATTTTAACTTTTTGTAATAGATTTGTGGATATTTTGTAGTAGTAAATGATAAAACAGACTAATATCTACATATATTTTATGTGTTTATATCTTTTAATTTTTTCAATATTTCTAGGTTGTACAGTTCATCTGAGTTTTATAAAAATTTTCCAACATAATTATTGAAAAACATTTGCATATAAGTAGACATACACAGTTCAAACCTGTGTTGTCCAAGGGTCAACTGTATGCTATGTATTCTGCCAGTTTATACCTCAATTAAGTTGTTTTAAAATTCATCTAATATTCAGCCATGTTATACTGGGATTCTACTGTACATAGTTCTTCTACTAAGTGCTGTTTAAAATGACACATAAGCAACAGTGATAGTTAAATTAAACATTTTTTTCCTCCACTATTGGATCAATTTTGTTATGGAAATATTATAATATTAAAAGCAAGATAAATATCACTGAAATAAATAACATATAACATAGTTTAAAGACGCACCATAATAATATAAGGGACCAAAACATAACATTTTATAATTCAACCAGTACTATGCTTAAGAAAGAAAAATTATTCCACAGCCTCACTATAATACTATCTGATGAAGCTTCACTATGGGGAGATGTAGGAATCCTATCCTATTTCTTGGACATCTCAGGAATTAAAGCCTTGACACATAGTGAATTCCTCTCCTTGGCATACTGACTTTAGCGACATTAAATTTTATTATATGATTTTGTATATCAAAGATTTGGGATTTTGAAAACAAATGACTATAGAATGACAAAAGTGTACTGGTGCTTTATTTCAGAATATACATAGCCAGTGTTAATCATCTTAAGAATAAGATATAAACTATACCTTGAGAAAAGAAATTATTCTTATAATAGAAAAACTTTATTAATATAAAAATTATAATGATGTCATCTTTTTTGTATTATAATGGACTTTAGAGACAATTGTTACCTGCATAACTTCTCCCTGTGCTCATACACGATGACACAACTGTCCATTTATCGGTTGTTGGGTTATAATACTCTACCGATGCCAAGTTACAGGAACCATCGTCTCCTCCAACAACATATAACAGACCATTAACTGCACAAACTCCTTTAAAAAATTATAGAGAGAAAATGATTATTTAAAAAATTTGGATGAATATGAGTATCACTGTATATGTTCAGTGAGATAATGCAGAGACATTAATTTCTTTGAAAGGAAGCAAGAAGAGAAAATAGTGAACATGTAAAGAATCCTTTTTATATTAGGATAGCCAGGCACCATAGCTCACACCTATAATCCCGGCACTTTGGGAGGATGAGGTGGGCAGATCACTTGAGGTCAGGAGTTCCAGACCAGCCTTGCCAACATGGTGAAACCCCATCTCTACTAAAAAAAACAAAAATTAGCTGGGCAAGGTGGAGCGTGACTGTAGTCCCAGCTACTCCAGAGGCTGAGGCAGAATCGTTTGAACCCAGGAGGCAGAGACTGCAGTGAGCCAAGATCGAGCCACTGCTCTCCAGTCTGGGTAACACAGCGAGACTCGAAAGAAGAAGAAAAAAAAGAAAAGAAAAGAAAAGAAGAAAAGAAAAGAAAGAAAAGAAAAGAAAACAAAAGAAAAGAAAAGAAAAGGAAAAGAAAAGGAAAAGAAAAGAAAGAAGAAAGGAAAGGAAGAAAGAAAGGAA